TTTTTTTGAAAAATTGGTGGGCCAGCCCGCCTAGCCCGCGGCCCGTGGCGGGGTGGGCCGGGCTGGCCATTTAGAGGCCCGCCGGGATGGCGGGCCGGCCCGCCCCGCCAGCCCGTTTTGACAAGTCTAGAAATGAGAGATGTTTTAGGGTAGAGAATGAGGCATGCCCTAGACTCTTATGCCAATCTATCAATGACAGGTTACAATTTTCAACCTTTCCCAACAAATCCTTTCTGCTGTTATAGACATAAAGGCTCCCTTCCAACTTACCATATCCATGCACCACCTGTGTTTTCTGATCTTCTAAGAGGCAGTGAGAGCCATCAAACACCCACTTCAGTGCACTTTTGTCACACATTTGCATAACTGAGAGCAAATTATATCTGAAAGAATATATGAACAGTACATCATGTAATGTAATGTTCTCATCTAGAACAACTTGCCCCTTGTATTCCATAATTTTCAAGGATCCATCTGGTAGGCATACCCTAACTGGTACCTTTAGTACTTCCACATTTTGCATTTGGTTCTCGTCCTTACATATATGTCTACTTGCCCCGGTGTCTATGATCCACTCATGCTGAAATTTTCCATTCAAGGCTGAAAGAGCAAAGTGAATATCATTGTTGTCTTCCTTTCCTTTGAAGCTAAAAAACTGAGCATAGTCCACCTTAGCTTTTGATTCCTCTTTATTTTTAATGTATTTGGTAAGCTCCTGCAGTTGTTGGATCACATAGTTTAAGTCTTGTCCACTTCTTTGCTTTTTTCCTTCTCCTGCAAAATTGTACTTGTTCTCATATTCACATACCTCAGCTGCATTTGCATAGCCTTTACCTTGTTGTCCCTTCATGTCTTTGTACCAATCAGGAACACCATGAATTTTAAAACATGTTATCACATTATGTCCCCTCATGCCACACTTTTCACATATAAGTTTAGACTTCTCCTCCTTGCTCATTCTCTGAAATCCTCTTCCTTTACCTGATTCCCAATTTTTTTCTTCATATCCTCCTTTTCCTTGTGTGAAAGAGTTACCTCTTCCATAGTTTGTCTGGGCCACCATAGCTATGCTATCCAATTTTCCCCCAAATTCATTTTTTACTGCTCTTTGGCTCTCAACAGTAAAAATCATAGAATATGATTTGTTCACTGTTGGCAAGGGATCCATTAGCATAATCTGATTTTTCACATTATTATATACCTCACTCAATCCCATTAGGAACTATATGAGTTTTGTCTCTGATTCCTGTTGCATCACAAGCTTTCCTTTTTCACAGTTGCACACTTGCAATGGCATGAAGCATGCATATTCATCCCACAGTCTCTTAAGCTTGCTAAAATACTCCATAATTGATTTATTTCCTTGGTTCAAATTAGAGATTTCTCTTCGAACCTTGTATTTCATAGGACCGTTGTTTTCACCAAACCTTTAACATATATCTTCCCACAATTCTTTCGCAGAATCAGCATATACAAAGGTTTCTGCTATTTCCTTTGACAACGAACTTAGAATCCATGATAATACCATCCAATCGACCTTTTTCCATGCTGCATACTCATCACTTCAACACTAGGTTTAACTACTTCACCATTCACAAATCCGAGCTTAGTTTTAGCTCCCAAAGCAATAATCATCGATCTCTTCCATGATAAGAAATTAGTACCAGTAAGAGGATTTGTGACCAGTGTCATACCAGGATGATCAGAGTTGCTGAGAGACATCGGATCCTGTTTCCCGCTCGTCGTCATGAAATCTCTGTGCGCCATGATAGTGATGAAATCAAGCTTCAATTGTGCAATCTATGGTGTAGCAAGCTCGATCTAAACGGAAGCGACTATTACCAGGCTCGTCCGCTCTGGTACCATGTGAAAATCAAAGAGAAACTAGATCGAAAAGTGCGATTTCCATATCTGAAATTATTTTCTGTTATTGCATGAAAGAGGGGAAAACCCGAGCATTTAATATGCTCATGCAGTACAAAACGAGACCGTTTTGGTTCTATCTTCTTTACACACAATACGGCGTCGTCTCTACCAATTGAGACGCGCTTAAGAAAAGAAAAACGTACACACGATTTAAGCACGGAGTTTCATAATAGAAAAATAACAGAAAAATGAAAATTAAAATCAGCTCTTGTATTCCTTCACATTAAAATCGGCTCTTGTATTCCTTCAAAATTGAGCTGAACTGTGCATTTCGGTGAAGTTCGATTTGATTATTCCAATGTAAAAAAATTTCGTTTCGATTTCAGTTTGTTTTTTTCTAAACTGTCGTGCGCTTCAGTTATTATTATTATTTTCTTCATAGGTTCAATTTTCGTTGTTTTTTTTTTTAGTTTGGTGAAACTGTTGCTCAGCATTATTCTAGTGGGAAGAGTAAAATTACAAACATATATATTTATAAATACGAAATCTAACAGATTTTGAAATCAAACGGACGTTATTGTAAATATGTATATTTATAATATACATATTTATAATATACATATTTATAAATAAAAAATATTAAAATATTTCTAAATTATTTGTCCAATCATACATATAATTAATGTTTATGCATAATAATACTCCACCTATAATTTATTAATAAAAAACATATTCATATATGATTGCACATATATGAATATGTGCAATCATATTCATATATGTACGTCACTTTTTAGTTCATTTATATTAAAAAAATACTTCTAATACAATTTATTCATGTTATTTGAACGCACTTTCAATTCATTTATAATTATAATTTATGATAAGAAACACTTCACATATGATTTATTCAAGTTCATTTATAATATGAAACATTTGTCATATATATGTGATTCGTTTAGTTGAAGAAACATCATGTTCATTTAATTTAAGAAAAAT